CATCTTAACATGTCTTACAAACACTTTAGAAGACAGGTTGGAGGGCACTGAGTAAAGAAGCAGAAAGGTCATTATTGTCTCCAGAGGAAAGGAGGCTGTCATGTAAGTTAAGCAACAAGAGCTTCTAAATTTAAAGTAGTGGTAGTAAGTATATAGACAAAGGGAGAATGGATTTGTGAGCTACTTAATGGATAGAAATAATAGAACTTGATTAAGATTAGATATAAAGATGTAGAGAGGGAGAAGATGAAGATGACTCGTCAACATTCACTAAGGTAGTAAACGTAGGAAGAAAATTTGCTGTGAAGTTTGAGATACATGTATAATAGCTATGTGGAAATTTCCATTTGGAAATGGAACTAATAGAACTAAGGTGAGTTAACTCAAGGGTGAGATCTGGCTTCAGTTATAAATCTGAATTGTCTGTCTTAGGTAGCAGTTAAAACCATAGTTTCGAATGAGTCACCTATGGGAAGATACAGATTGAGAAAGAGCAGTAGGCTGAGGACAGAACATGATTTTTTTTGAAGGTCAGCATTTAAAGAGCCCACAGAAAAGTAGAAGAAACTGTAGAGATGGAAGATCTAAGGAAAAGTGGTGTAACAGAAGCCAAAAATGCTTTAATGCAGGAAAGAGGAGTAATAAAGCATTAAATGCTACAGAAAGATTAGCTAAAAAAAGCATCCATTTAATTTGTTAATAGGAGGTTTTTGAGCCTAGTGAAAGCCATTTCATTAGAATGGTTGCGGCAGTCACATTGAATTGAGGAGTGTACGTGAGAGTGAATGATGAATATTAGATTTTCTGTCTCCAGCCTGGCTGTGAGGAAGAGGAAGAGGTATATGGCAGCTAGAAGAAGAGGTAGAATGGAGAGGGATTTATGATGGGAAAAGACTTAAGTATTTTTTATGCCCAAAAGTCCAGTAGATAAGGACTCATTAAAGATACACAGTGATGATTGATGGAGCAATATCCTTAAGATGGTAAGAAAAGTTAGAATCTAGAGCAAATACAGAATGAAGTTATTACTATTAGAAAGAAGCTTACCTTTTTCTTAGAGACAGGAGGGAAGAAAGCATAGAATTCTATTTCATTTTAGAGTAACTAGGTTAATCTGTGATACAGTTGGATTTATTTATCTATCCAGCTAACTTAGAAGAGAATAAAAAATGTTAAATCCAGTGACCATTTTTCCTTTATGTATAGAAGTCATCTTATAGTTACTCAGTTTTAGTAACCCCCATTTGACCATGTGTGGTTTTCTTGATTTATGTCCTGTCACCAAAATTGGTTACCAGCTAAAAATTCATACTGTATTTAATGTTACCTTTAAGAATCATAACCATTTTAACATTCTTTTTTTTGTTTGTTTTAACAGTCCAAAGCAGCATATGTACTCTTCTACCAGAGGCAAGACACTTTCAGTGGAACTGGCTTTTTTCCTCTTGACCGAGAAACTAAAGGTGCTTCAGCTGCCACAGGCATCCCATTAGAAAGTGATGAAGATAGCAATGATAATGACAATGATATAGAAAACGAAAACTGTATGCACACTAACTAATGAAAGTCCTAGAAGCCATAAAAGAGAGACTTTCCTGCTGGTGGTATCAAAATGATGAAGTTACCCACCACATTAAACAAAAGTCTGAGATGGGGAGTTTCAGATAACTGAATGTAAATCCTTTATCAGATTTTAACTTGTGCAGTACTTGAAGTGAAACACAATGAAAACTTTAACAGAAATTGTCTCTTAATACATTTACAGTCTTGTATTTACAAGCTAAATATATATAGGAAATCACAAATAAATCCCTTTTAAGTTTGCTGCTGTTTTGATGAATTATGTTTTCTTTAATTTTTTGGATGTGAGTTAATTGATGACAAACGTTAAATTTGTGGATGTTGGTCATTTATTTTGCTCAAATAATACTGCAAGAAAACTGGCTGAACTTAGTTTTTGGATAATTAATTCATGTGCATTAAGCTGCCACATATACTACTATGATATTTAGCTGCGGTATCCATGTGGCATAAATACTGCAGTAGTATTCTTGGAAAACCAAATTTTCAAATCTTTACCTGGTAGTCAATGTGGGCCTGTTATAAAACCAAATCATGATAGAAGAAATAATCTTGAAAAAGTTATTTCCTTTTGTAGTATCATAAAAAATCCAGAATGTTATGTTCATCTTATTACTACTGTGGAAACAGGTTCTAGATTTCACACTTCATCGAAAGTCACTTTTCAGTTAAATGTAAGTATTTTTTACTGCTATTGGGATCTATCCCTAGATATTCAAATTCTTTTTGACTTGCTTTAAAATGCATATCTTTAATCTGGTGTTGGTCCAAAATTAAAATTTTGGCTGTCTGTTTTTCTCTACCCCATTTTTTGGTAATTTGGCAACTTTCAGCTCTCCCAAGTATTGTAATATAAGGACAAACTTAATAGTATTCTGTATCCATAGTAATAATTACATCAAGCTTAGATGAGAATTTTTTTTCATATACTGGCCTTTAAATCACTAATGGACAATTGGCTTTACAGGTAGGTCTGTTAACTTTCTTTGTGTGTTCCTGATGGAATTCACCATAGCCTTACAGCTTTTCTCAGAAGGTAACTTGTTACAAGAGAATTGGCATTTGCATGTTCCAGAGTCAGAACCTGTACAGTATATAAAGTATACAAACCTTGAATTTTATTTTAGTTCACCACATTCAAGGATCCAGGATGCCAAAAATATGTGTGAACATTTGAAACATTTTTCATTTGCTGCTTTTTCCCTTTGATCTAGTTGAAAGAATGTATTGTCAGTTGGCATACAATACTGCCTTTAATAGAAAATAAATGCTGGGGCACATTTCACATATCGACTACCTGAGAAATTGCTTTGTGTCCCACTGTTATTAAAGCAAAAAGTATAATGTTCTTCACTTGAACTAATCAAATACAATAGATTATAAATTGTGTATTGTAAATAAAAGTTCACTCTGTGAGTGCACATTTTGGTAAATTATTTATTTATGTTAGCATTTAAAAGTGAAAGAGAAATGCATTTGACCAGGATAAATGAGGTATGTTGATCATGGCTTTGCTTTATACCGTGATATTAAAGCTGGTTTTTCATCCTGGTATTTTTAAAGCTGCTTTGGGTTTTTCCTTTTTTCTCTTCTTTTCTTTTCTTTTCTTTTTTTCTTTCTTTTTTTTTTTTTTTTTTAATGTAAACTAACCTCCTGCATGACAGAGGTTAAAATTTTGTCTGCACTTGAGTTCACTTGCGTTTACATTTGAAATGTGCATGTTTATTTATACAGATTTCAATAAAGCTATTCAAGGCCTTATTTAGTCTTTTATTTCTTACTCTGAATCTTTTAATAAAAATCCTCTATTTTATGGTAGGTGACCATAGACTTTTTAGTTATACCGTTAAAAATAGAAAGAAAAGCATGTCATAGCTAAGTAAATCCTACTGTTAAGGACATGTTTTAAAGTTGACGTTTTCAGTTTAAATATTTAGTCATTGAGCAAATGTTTGTTTGTATACCTACTAATCTAGAGTCTTGAGATTTAGCAGTAACCAAATATCCCTGAGCTCACAGAGTTTGCAGTCTTTCTGCTACCTACCAACTAGCAAACTTTATTTCCATTTTTCTGAGGTTTAAAGAAAAGACAAAATTTTTTCTAGCTCTAGATTGTAGTCTCTACCCTAGTTGTCCATAGGGACCATTCCTTTTTCCTGTGATTAACTTATATTCCCACTGAAAGAAAAGAAAATGATGTTAATAATACCATTGAATTTGTCAAACTCAAATGGCATTTTCAGCTGCAAAAAAGAAAACTGTAAAAATAGTGCAAAGGCTAATCCATACTCTAATTAAAAGTAGATATTCATAGATAGTACAGGGTAGTAGGAATATATCCAGTCTAGAATTCTCCTTCTAGCTTTGCTACTCAGTAATCACATGACTTTGAATTTAATCTCTCCTGGTCTGTTTCCTGGCCGGTAAAATAATAATAATAATAGGAGCATTTATTGAGCATTTTCATGGACCAGGTACTATATTAAAGTGTTACATGTATTACCTCATATAATTCCACAATAGCTACGAGGTAGGAACATTCATCATCCCCATTTCTCATACGGAGAAACCAAGGTACAAAGCAGCCAATATTCCCAAGTTCACACAATTGCTATGTGGTGGCCAATATTCTATCCTCAGGTACGTGTGCTACTTCCCACTAGTTATAGTGTCTGACTCACAGGATTGTTTGGAGCTCAAACAAGATAATGCATTTTATGGCAAGGTGCTTTGTAAGCTATGTGGTATACTCATTACTGACTTTTTCAGTCTGAATACAAAGTCATCTTGAAGTCTAATAACTTTGCTCCCAAAAGTAACTTCAGGTGAATATCTGAGTACTGAATAAGAAAAATACCAGCTGGAACATTGACTAACCATTCCCTTTTAAAACTAACTTCATTCAACTTGCATACATTTATTACAATTTTAATTAAATTTTAAATGTGGCATTTTTTTCCTTGTTCATCTAACTCAACTGTGCCCTTCTTTACATTTCCCCAAATGCAACCCTGATTTTCAGGACTTTTTTTCTTCACCTATGATTTAGTTTTAATTAATCTATATGAAAAAGCTGCAGCCTAATGTTTTATTTAAATATCCTGCTTTCTCTTGTAATCTGTATTCTTTTAGTCCTATATTTGTCCTTGCTTTTCTGGCAGCTAGATATAAAGCCACACAAAACAGTGGTTTGGGTATGAAGAAAATTAGTTAAGTGTCAAAGCCATTGCTACAGTATAAAGACAGTGCTTGTTCATCAACTAATTTCATTGAGGTGAGGACATCTTATGAGAAATAAACCAGGAGACTATGAGATAAAATGAGTAGAGTCTCCTTCAGTGACTTATGAAAGGGAGTTGGGGGGAGGGGGCGTGGTTTGTGGGGGTGGGGAGCATGCCAGTAGGAACCTTTCACCCCAGAGAAGAATGTACTGTCTCTGACACTATCACTGGTACATGGTGATAACAAAAAGTAAGCCAACTTTTAGTCTGTTTTATTATCTTTAAGTACTTTACAGACAATACATTTCATTACTGCCTGCTTCCCATCCTCCCTACTTGTAGCTATGGTTCTGATCTTTGCTTGTGCAGTATAGATGAGCACATTCTCTCCAGTTTAGTTTGTAAGGTAGAAATGTGGAGAATTCTTGTATACAGAGGAAGGAACCAAAAGTCTTTAAAATCTCAGAGGAGTGAGAAGGAAAGGAAAATAAATTTTATTTCTGAAGCCAAAGAAGAATAGTGGAAATCTTTGGTCATATTTTTTGCTCTACAATAAAGTAATTTTTTAAATTTTTATTTGAAACAGCTTCTCTTGAAAAGGTAACTATGTTGATAACTCACAAATACTTTTTTTTAAGTGCCAGAGGTTAGAGAAAGGGGGAAGGAGAGTGTATTTATATTCTTGCTGACATATATTAAGTTGTAGAGCTATATAGTCTATTGTTTCATTATCAGAGTTTTTTAATGAGAAACATGTATAATTTTTCTTATAAGCATTATTCTAGCTTGGGCATTTCAATTCTATATAATTTTTCATGTGTTTAATTCATATTTACCATATATTAAAGCAAAAGAATTTCAAAATAGCTCAGATAACACTTTCATTTAAAACTGGATTAGGTATATTCAAATTTTTAATCAGCATAGAATAGGTTTTTAAATATCAGAATCAGGAAGATAAAATATACATGTAAAATGTACATAGTAAAAATTCAAATATTGATCAAGCCTTATTTGCACTAATGATGGGGTAAAGAATTTTTAAATGGATAATATAAAACAGACAGTACAAAAATTATTTTTGGCAAATATATGCATTGGGAAACATACACTACATCATACCATGGTCTAATTATAATCTGCTCTATCTTTGGAAGCCTGGAAATTGCCAGGATAGTGAAAGGGAAGAGACTCTGGGTTATTAAGAGAATCCAGAAAGTGGATAAACCATTCAGGGAAAATCAAGGGTTGACATAATATTGTGGACTAGAGTCTCAAAGGACAGAGAGAAAAATCAGTCAAATGGGTTTTGATGTCATTTTTTTTCTAGAAATGCCTATTAAATCTTATACAAAGCAGCTAAAAATACAGCTATCTCTTTGGAAATCGTTCTTTTAAATGGAAATGCTGTAAAAATAAGACTGCACATTTTCAGTATGCACAAAATCAAATATTTTAAATGTTTAAATTGTTTTGGTAATTAACTATGTTCTACTGTAGAAAATCATGGTTGAAGTTGGTGCTCATTTTGCTCAAAGTTTTCCCTCATATCAGGAACTTGTAGTTTGTTCTATATAGTTTGATGAAACAAAAAAAATAGTTTTATTTGCTGTGACCTTCAAATCCGTTGCTAGGAGTTAAATCTACATACATACAAGTAAAACAATAAATATGGAAACATCCCAACAGTCTTTTCCCATAATGTGTATTCTTACATTTTTCTCAGTAATGACAAATTCTTTACATTTGCCAAGCTGTTTTAAACCTTAAGTATTACCTTGCTTTTTAATTCTTAGTTAAAATCTTTCAGGATTCTTAAACTTTGTAATATCTCAAACCAGGTTTTCTCATTAACACTTATTTTGTTTTTCTTTTAAACTTTATGAAAGAATATTGTAGGTTAACAGGCATTGTAACTCCTTATTCCTCCTCTATTCATTGATTCTTAGGTATGGTAGGTTTTGAATAGTTTAGACTCACGTATTAAAGTGTTCTTCTTAGTCTGGCCTTACATGTGTGCCTTCACTCTTTCATCTGGCCTGCTTTTCTTCTGACCTTGAGTTATCCCTATAAGTAGTGAAAGTATTTCACTTTCTCTATACTGAAAACAATCTTTTGATTGTATGAAGTGGGCAATTTTAAAATTCTCTTGAGTTCGTCAGAATTAATCACATCATGACTTTTTAAGTCATTTCCCAAAGAAGTTCCAGACGTCCAGATCATTGTTCATCCCCTGAGCTCCCTAACTCCTGTAGTGAATTATCAGTGTCCTGAAAACTACTTAAGACAGAGCAACCTCCAAGCATATATGAATTATTTTAGAATTGCCCTTACTTAAAACCAAAAAATAAACTAAGTATGGAGAAATTATTGATAGTACATCTTTTTATTCCTGTAGGACTCATACTGAGTGACTTTAGTAAGATAAAACTCGATTTATAAAACAGTTTCAATTTTGTGCCATGTATCTATTGTGTGAGTTGTAATATTGCAAATTCAAACAGTAAACATCAATAATCACAAATACTTGGGTAAGATGTTTGTTGGGAGACAGTGAGATAGGGTAGGAAACATTCTGTATTTAAAACCATTTTACCACAGCTAGCTCTTAAGTCATTGGCTTCTGAATTTTAGTTTTCTCAACCATAAAATACCAGTTTCTTGTGAGGATTAAGAGTTAATGGATATAGAGGTATAAACTTCGAGGTTTTGCAAAATAAGGCATATTTCCTATTATGGAAAACTAGAGTGCTCTATCATTGCTGATGAAAGACTTCTTCAATTGAAGGCTCAAATTCAGCTTTTAAAGTTATTGTTAAGTATATATTTTTAGCAGAAGAATAACCAGTAGGGTGGATCAAATTAATATTTGCTTTTTCATTTTTTTTTTTTAAGATGTTCTCCTAGCTCCTCTAAAAGACTTGGAGCAGAAGTCTTAATGTGATGGTAAGCTTGAAAATTAAAATTTCATCACGGATACTAGAATCCAGTTCCATACTAACAGATTTGTTTTTTTAAAGCTATTTATGAGCATAACTAAACATTTTACACTTAAAACCCTTTTCTCTGCCTTCAGCAATCATGGATTATGTTGTCTTTTTCCTCCAATTTTATTTATCAGTATCTAAAATCATTTGAGTAAAGTAAAATCCAAACTTCAGAGGTTACGACTTTTATTGTTGGGATAGAATTAGTAAAAGTCAGATTCTATTCCTCTCTTTAGCTTAAAGTCCTCCTCCAGACCCTCCATGAATAAAAGAGTGGTTCAGAACATAGGCTTAGAACTTTAACCACCTGAGTTCTGGGCCTACCACTTTTCTGTAAGTCTTGTTACCTCTCTGATTCCCAATTTGCAAACTAGAGCAGCTCCAGAATTTCCATCTAGGAGGGCTTGGGGTGAACAGTCCGAGTAGAAAGAAGTGTGAGACTCTTAAAACTGCATGTTTGCTCAGCAAGCACATGGTTTTTCTTGAAATGTACAGTTTACTTGTTGTAGAGGGCTATTAATAGATATTTGTGAGGAAACCAAACTCCCCATCTACCTAAGCCATCCACTCCTGGCACTATTACCCTACCTTTTAGAATAATTGTGAGGTATAAATTGTGTCCTGATCATTATGAAGAACGCAGCAGGTATTATTACTAACAAGTACACCCAATTGTGGGAATGATTGTTCTCTCTTTACAAATGAGACTAATTATCATTATTCAATATCATTCACACTCAAGTTCCAATAAGCTTTCTTCAGCAAGAGAACAAAGAATAGGGTAACAATTATTCCACCCAGATTGCCTGTTCAACTGGTGCTTGAGGGAAAAGATTGAGAACTAGCCCTTATCGAACTCCTCACCTTCCCTCAAACATATACAATTTGACAACTCTGGCCTTTCCCACATACTATTCTGTTTAATGGTCTGCCTTATCTCCTACCAGGCAGACTCCTACACACATTCTTCAGGACCAATCCCAACATACACTGCCTTGCTCTTCCTGACACATCAGTTGTCACCTTGGGCTATGCATATCTCTCATCCCCCATTAGACTGAATTAATCTGATGGAAGAGTCTTGTTCATAGATGCTAAGATGGTGTTGGGTATAGTATGTGTTCCTAATGTGATAATTATTAAATGAAGGATTTGCCTCAATATCTGAAGCATCACTGTATTACTGTGATTTTGTTTTATCCCTGATGTATTACTGAGTATTTTTAAAGCTTTCAAAGTAAATTTACCTTATGAATGTGCATTAAAAATAGATATGTTTAAAATACAGTAACATTCTAAATTCAGTATTATTAAGAATAATAAATTCAGTATTATTTATGGAATTTAGAATATTCAAGATTAAATGTAAAGAATAGCAACATTTCATTTATATTTTCTAAAGACATTTTTATTGCAAAGAAATCTGTCTTCCAACCCAGTTTTTGTCTGGTTTCCATGGCAAAGTAACCATTCTGTGACTAGGCTCATAGCCTCCTTATCTAGTATCACATATACAACATTCTGAAGTCTACCTTCCCTTAATATTGTCCATTTTTCTTGAGTCCAAGGTTTTCCAGGAGAATTAACAACTATCAAAAGTTAGGTCTAGGGCTTCCCTGGTGGCGCAGTGGTTGAGAGTCCGCCTGCCGATGCAGGGGACACGGGTTCGTGCCCCGGTCCGGGAAGATCCCACATGCCGCGGAGCGGCTGGGCCCGTGAGCCATGGCCGCTGAGCCTGCGCGTCCGGAGCCTGTGCTCCGCAATGGGAGAGGCCACAACAGTGAGAGGCCCGCGTGCCGCAAAAAAAAAAAAAAAAAAAAGTTAGATCTAGATCCTTTATGCCTCTGCATTGACCAACAATGTAGTCACCAAGTTTGTCTTCATGCATCTTCTGAGAAGGGTCTCAGAGTTATTAAATACTTATGAGAGTTTACCTACTGATTGCTTCCAAGCAACCTGTATAGTGATACTATTTTTAAACAAATACTGCCTTGAGACCCCATCCCCATGAGAGCCCACAATTTGTATAGTATTAATAAGCCTGGATGAGTTGTTACTGCTGTCCCAAAATAGAAGTCCCTAAATCACCCTCAAGCACATTGAAATAGTAAAAATACTATATAATATTTGGTTGGAATATACAAAGATAGGTGTACAAATTACTAATTTGGGAAGTGAAACAGTCCATAGTTTTCAGACTTGAATTCCCATTTTAAAAAGACATCATTTTTCAGTTTTACTGCGATAAGAAATAAAAATTAAACAAGAAGTAATGTGGGGGGAAAAAAAAAAACCTCACTTTTGAGGCAAAAAAAGAGTCTTGTTGATGGCCAAGGGTAAGACTCAGTTTCCCAACAGGGTAAATTAATTTTGAAAACAAAAGGAGCCAAATGTTAAGGAAAGAGAAGATAGTCAAGTTTGATTGGAAAGGAGAGATTTTCTGTGTTTTTTTTTCTTTCGTGGGTGGTTTAAGCTCTAGAGAAAATATTTTCTTGGACAGATTCCTCAAAATTCCCTTTAAACAACCAGGTAGACTGGGAACATCCTGGATCTTCCCACTTTTCTTAAAAACAGCACACAAAAGATGAACTATATAATGACACCAATTGTGATTGTGTAAAAATAAAATAGCCCAACCGGAATTACTTGTACACAATCCATTAACAAGATTTTTAAACCCCCACTGATAGACCCAGAAGGAAAATTAAATTGCTTAGCTTGTTCAAAATCTGCTTTTTGAAACACATGGCAAACCATCTAATTGATACATACTCTAGAAATAAGTAGTATAGTACAGAAGTATTTGTGTAATTTTATTTTTATTTTTTTTTTTGCTATCCGCGGGCCTCTCACTGCTGTGGCCTCTCCCGTTGCGGAGCACAGGCTCCGGACACGCAGGCTCAGCGGCTATGGCTCACGGGCCCAGCCACTCCGCGGCATGTGGGATCTTCCCAGAACCGGGGCACGAACCCATGTCCCCTGCATCGGCAGGCGGACTCTCAACAACTGCGCCACCAGGGAAGCCCTATTTGTGTAATTTTAATACATGTGAGGCTCACAATGAGTGGTGCTAAGACCAGGTGTTTTCTTTGGTGCTAGCGAAATTGGTGTAACTCTGGAAACCACTTTCATACTACAGTTATTAGCAAATACAGAATTTAGCTTCAGAGTTCAGTGAGTCCTAACAGCCTGCCCTCAAAGTGTGAGACAACCTAAAACCAGGGCAGAGAGAAGACAGCTCCTTGTCTTAGATGCTAGCTATATCTCCCTCTCCTGTCACTGGACCCACACGTACTCTTTCCAGATTCTGGGACACTTCTATTTACTTCAAGTTTTTAAGGCCTATTTGTTTCTACCCTTACATTTAGCTGGTATTTAGCTGGTAAACTTGAATTTTTACCTAGTCATCCTTCTGTTACTGTTGTCTGTTTCCACAGCTACATTGGATTTCCAAGGGCATGGCTTATCTGTTCAGACTCTGATGTTTGCTCGTATTCCACAGTTCTGGTTTGGTTTTTCAAAATGTAATGTTGGGATTCACCCCAAAAATCAAGGTTACTGTTTTTTGTCTTCTCTGTCTTTGCCTAAGGTATATTTTCTTGGACTCTGTAAATCTGCCCATAGGAAACCCATAGGAAAACTGTAATAGACTACACGCCCTGTAACTAGACTGTTAACTTCAAGGATCAGGGATGTTATTCTATAGTAAATATTTTGTGGATGTATTTCCACAACTGTCACGTTGTTGTTGTTTTCTTCATGTAATTTCAAATATAGTAAAACCAAGTTCTTGGAGAAAAAAGGTCAGGGTCCAAATAATTCAATGAAAATTAGTATATCATTAAAAAAATGAGAAATACATTCCAAGGATATTCATTAAAATGTTCATTTCAGTTGCCTTGATGAGGCATTGATATCGTACATTGCCTCCATATGTCGTAAAATAGAAAATAACATGTATCATTCACAATTCCTAGAAATATAAAGAAACAGGAAATGTAAACCCATGGTAAATGGAAACAGATCCAAAGATAACCCAGATGTTAGAACTGGTAAACAAGGACTTTAAAATGACTATAATAAATACATTAAAGAATCCACAGGAAAAGATGGAATGCATAAGAAATAGGGAATTTCAGGAAATACATGTGAAAACTATAAGAAATAACCAAATGTAAATATTAAAACTAAATATAACTGAAATCAAAAATCTATTAATTGGATGGGATTAATGCAGAACACAACTTAAAAATAAGTCTAGAAATTATCCAAAATAAGGCATAGAGATTTTTTTTCCCCTAAATTAACAGGAACACAAAGACTTGTGAGAGAGAACCAAACAGGAGAAGAATGAAGTAGAAAAAAATAATTGAAAACAGATGGCTGAAGTTTTCCCGAATTTGACTGAAAATATCAACTTAAGCCAGCATACCCCAAGCAGGATAAGAAGAAAAGAAGACCACATCCATACCCTTAAATAGTCAATAAAAATCCAAGATAAAAATTAATTCTCAAAAGCAGCCATGGGGGAAAAAAGTCACATTACTAGCAAATAATGTGACAGCTGACATTTCATTAGAAACAACAAAGGCCAGGAGAAAATGGAATGGCGTCTCTGAGGTGCTAAGGTGGGGGAAGAGGGAGGGAAACCTGTCAAATTTAGAATTAATACACAAGAAAATATCCTTCTAAAATGAAGGCAAATTAAACATTTTCAGATTAAAAATAATTTGTCCATCAGTAACCCATAATACAGAAGTGTTTATGGAAATGCTCAAAGAATTTCCAGATGGAAATTTCAGATCTACAGGAAGGAATAAAACCTATGGAAATGGTGAGTAGAGTATGTAGATAAATAGAAAATTTTTTCTTTCTTAGATAAAAATCAAATGGTTGTTCAAAACAAAATGAATGAAAATGTACTGTGGGATTTGTAACGTGTGAATAAAATATATGACATCAGACAAAGGAGAGTGGTTTATGTGAAATTATACTGTTATAAAGTTCTTATATGTGAATTAATATGATTGCAAAAGATCATGATATATTAAGAATGTATACTATAGGGACTTCCCTGGTGGTCCAGTGGTTAAGGCTTCGCCTTCCAATGCAGGGGTGTGGGTTCAATCTCTGGTTAGGGAGCTAAGATGCCACATGCCTTGTGGCCAAAAAACCAAAACATAAAACAAGCAATATTGTAAAAAATTCAATAAAAACTTTAAAAATGGTCCACATCAAAAAAATCTTAAAGAAAAAAAAAGTATACTATAAACCCTAGAGCAACCACACAAAAAAAAGAAAAAGAACAAGAGGCATAACTAAAAGCCAGTAAAACAGATAAAATGTAATAATAAATAATACTCATGTCACCCCCTCCCCCACACACAAAAAAAGTAAAGGTAGAAAAGGAGGGAAAAGGAACAAAAGAACAAATGGTAAACAAAGGTTGATGGTAGATTTAAATCCAACCATATTATTAATTAAATGTAATGGACTAAACTCTGAATAAGGCAGGAGAAAGAAAGATCCAACCATATGCTTTTTCCGAGAGACACTTTATAAAGACCAAACAAGTTATAAGTAAAAAATGGAAAATGATACACCTAGCATAGGGAATTTAGTGTGGCCATATTAATATAAGGTGATTGACACTTATAGAACACTACGCACAACAAATGCACATGGAATAGTCTCTAAGACAAAATGCTGGTCCATAATTAAGTTTCAGTATATTGCAAAGGATTGATGTCCTATAGAATATGCTCTCGCATGACCAAATAATTAAATTAGAAATACAGTCAGCCCCCTCGGTATCTGCGGGTTCCACGTTGGTGGATTCAGCCAGCCTAGGATCCAAAATATTTGAAAAATATTTCCAGAAAGTTCCAAAAAGCAAAACTTGAATTTGCTGCATACCAGCAACTATTTATATAGCATTTACATTGGATTAGGTATTATAAGTAATCTAGAGATGATTTAAAGTATACAGGAGGATGTGCAAAGGCTGTATGCAAATACTACACCATTTTATAATAAGGGACTTGAGCATCCATGGATTTTGATTTCTGTGTATGTGGGGGCGTGTCCTGAAACCAATCCCCAGCAGATACAAGATATCTAGAAAATTAACATGGGTCAGAGAAGAAAACTGCATGAAAATTTGTGGGGTGAAGCTAACACATCTTATAAAAATTATGTTTACACTATTCTGTAGTCTATTAAGTGTGCTATTTAGCATTATGTCTAAAAAAAGCAACGTGTATACCTTAATTTAAAAATACTTATATTGCTAAAAAATGTTAACCATCATCTGAGCCTTCAGCAAGTCCTAATCTTTTTGCAATAGTAACATTCAAAGATCACTGATCACAGATCACCATAACGAATACAATAATAATGTAAAAAGTTTGAAATATTGTGAGAATTACCAAAATGTTGACACAGACACGAAGTGAGCAAATGCTGTTGGAGAAATGGTGCCAGTAAACTTGCTCAATGAATGATTATCACAAACCTTCAATTTGTAAAAAAAGGAATATCTGCAAAGTGCAATAAAATGTGGTATGCCTGCAGTAAATTAGCAAGATCGATTGCATTAGTTTGCTAGGGCTTCCATAACAAAATAGCACAGAGTAAGTGGCTTAAACAACAGAAATTTATTTTCTTATGGTCCTGGAGACTGGAAGTACAAGATCAAGGTGCTGGCAGAGTTGGTTTCCTCTGAGGCCTCTCTCCTTGGCTTGCAGATGGCCACTTTCTTGCCTTTTCTTCACATGGTCATCATGCAGTGTACCCTTGGTGTCTCTCTGTGTGTTCTAGCCTTATAAGGACACCAGTCATAATTGGATTAGGGCCCTCTCTAATGCTCTCATTTTAACTTAATTACCTCTTCAAAATACAGTCCAAATACAGTCAATTTTGAGGTACTGAGGGGTAAGCCTTCAACTTGAGGGGAACACAATTCAGCCCATAACACTGATAGAATAAATTATCAATATCAGGAATGAAAGCAAGGACATGACTGTAGATTTTACAAAGATTAAAAGGATAATAAAAGATTATGAACAACTGACAATAAATTCAATTAAATGGACAGTTTCCTTAAAGAGAACAACTTAACAAAAATACCACTTATCACAATTGACACAGGAGACATAGAAACTCTGAAAAGCTCTACATCTTAAACACGCTGAATTTGTATCTAAAAACCTTCCCAGAGAGATAAAAGGAAGATTTTGGTTCCATTGGGACACTGAAGTCCACTACAGCTTATCTCTTTTTGAATTACAACTAAAATCTCTTGAGAATATTCATAAGCAACTACCTGAGCATTCTGAAAAGTAAACAAAAAATTGTGGAAGGAAGTCAGCAGTTGGAAAAGCAATCCATAAAGGAGTAAATTTTCTGAGTTTCTGTTTTATAGCTATGCCCCCAAGGGCAGGCTCAGTTGTAGAAATGTGTGATCATGTAGATGGCTAGCCTCCAATAGAACCTTGTTTTCCTGTCCAAAGGAACCACAAAAAGGGAAACTTGCAGGTCAGAAAGTGTAACAAGAATTCTGGATTTGGGGAAGGGGATTACCTAATCTGTTGTAACAGGCTCACCCCTGGGTTGTGCATGGACAGGACAAATCTAAAACATCATAACACTTAACATTTTGACCATTGCTCAAGACTCATACTAACCCCTGAAAAGCACATGTGCAGGTCGGACCCAAAACAGTATGGCAAATGCTTTATGACCTGAATTATGATTTAAACCAGGGCCCAAATCTCAGACTAATCCTGGGTGATGGTTGTATGGCAAGACAGAACTTTTGGTCTGAGTCTAAACTGAGTTGATAGACTGGCTAAAAAAAATTAACATCCTCCATAAGATTATAAGAGAACCCACAGTCTACACAGTATTGCAGTCACAATTTCCAGCATATAATTCAAAGTTAATTAGCATATAAAGTATGAGTAAAGTGACTAATTAACCAGGCAAAGGCAACCAACAGATTTCAAGACATACAGCTGTAGTAATCAAGATGGTGGTATTGGCAGAGGAATAAACACACAGATCAATGGAACAGAAGGGAGAGCTCCAAAATAGCATCATCACACAAGTATGGCCAACTGATATTTGACAAAGTTGCAAAAGCATTTTGATGGAGAGAGGACACTCTTTTCAACAATGGTGTGGAGTAATTAAATATCCATAAGCAAAAGAATAAGCCTAGACCTAAAACTCACACCTTATACAAAAATTAACTCAAAGTGAATCATAGATTTAAAAGCAAAGTATAAAACTATAAAGCTAAAAGAAGATAACACGAGAAAAAAGCATGGTGACAATTCCAAATGCTGATGAAGATACAGAAAAACAGTCTTGTACATTGCTGATGGGAATATAGAATAGTACAGCCACTCTGGTAAATAATTTTGCATTTTCTTTAAAGACATTTATCATACAACCCAGCAATCACTGTTGATATTTATTCTAGAGAAATGAATACATAAGTCTTCATTAAAACCTGAACATGATTGTTCATAGCTCTATTTGTAATAGCCCAAAATTGAAACAACCAAAATATCTCTCAGTAGGTGAATAGTTAAACTGATATATGCAGACTATGGAATTCTACTCAGCAGTAAAAAGGAAAAAAACTATCTCTTCATATAACAACTTCACTGAATCTCAAGGGCATTGTACTGTGTGAAAAAAAAAATCCAATTCCAAAAACTCATACTGTATAATTCCATATATATATATGTGGTTCTCAAAATGAAAAAATTACAGAAATGGAAAGATTAGTGGTTGGTGAAGGTAGGGGTGTAATTATAAAACAATAGCACCAGAGAGGTTTTTGTGGTGATGGAATAGTTTGGTATCTTGACTGCAGTAGTCATTACACAAATCTATACATGTGATTAAATGATATTAAACTATATATACACACCATATTAATGTCATTTCCTGACAATGTCATTTGATATTGTACTATAATTGTATAAGATGTAACCATTGAGGTAAACAGGATGAAAGATGCATAGTGCCTTTCTGTATTACCTTTGAAACTTTTTATTCTATAATTATTTCAAATTAAAACATTCTCAAAAATTAAAGATATAATCACTCAATGAACCTGAAGAGTGATAAACAGAAGTTATAGAATCTGAAGGACAGAAGCAGGGAAAGATTTTTAAAAGAAAGAAAGAGAAAAGAAAGAGCATAGCATCACGGGTCTATGGAACAATATTTTAAAAATCTAACATACTTGCCCCTGGAGTTTCAGAAAGAGAGGATAAAGAGATTGGGGCCACAAAAATTATTTGAAGAAATAATGCCCCAAACATCACAAATTTAATGAGACATACATTTACAGAGGCAAAAAGTTTGATGCACCCCAAGCAAGATAAAGAAAATAATACTTAGACACATTTTAATGAAACTACTGAAGACTTTTGTAAAAAGATTTTTAAAAATCTTAACAGAACTAGAGAAAAATGAAACATTACATATGGGGCAACAATGATTGGGATGCTCTTGGATTTCTCATCAGAAGCCATGAAACCCAGACAATGGAAGAACATCTTTAAAGTGCTCAAAGAGAAGAGTGGTCAACACAGGATTCTATGTCCAGCAAAAATATCCATCAGAATAAATAAAGATATTCTGAGATGAAAGAAAATTATGAGAATTCATCAGCAGCAGATTGATTCGAGAAGAATACTTAAAGGAAATGATTCAGGCTAAAGAGGAATACCAAAGAGAAACTTAGACGTTGAAAAATGAAGGAAAAGCAACACAAATGGTAAAGATCTGAGTAAATTTAACAGTCTATTTTTCTCCTATTAGATTCTTTAAAATATGCATAACTGATGAAAGCAAAAAATGATTGGGACATAGTCAATGGGTCTCTCTAACTCTGACACATGTTGCTAAGCGTGTAAAGGATTGCCAAGACCCTGACAACTCTTTTATCCAGGTCATTTCTCAGGATTGTTTTTGCAGCTGGAAAGTATGAAAGGTGAGGTAATATCTTCCATCACATAAAAAGCTGATCTGCTTACTGATTGCCATAAAAGTGGTAGACCCCTTAAAGCTCCTTTCCTGTGGCCCAAAAATCCACTAATTTTGCAGGCTTCATCAGGCCTTCTGCATTGCCTTGTGGGTCTTGTGGCTCAGGTAATCAGCATAAAAATACTCTTGCCTCTGCTGTCACCGTAAGTTTCAGAGTCTAGTGTGCATGTCTACTGTACACCGTCTAGTGTACCTTACCTAGGATTCTAGTGTGTTCAGTATCCATGAAATGGTAGCATGCTAACTTAATAGCTTGAAAGTCGATTAAAATAAATCCCCTCTCAAAACTGTAACACTGCCTGGTAGGAATATCAATATATGTAGATATATATGACAACTATAACATAAAGAGGGCAGGGTAAAGCAACCTACATGGTTGTAAGGCTTCTACATTTCACTTGAGGTGGTAAAATATTAACCTGGATATAGTGGGAAAGGTTGAGTATGTGTAATTTAATCTATAGAGAAACCATTAAGACAAAGAACCCAAAAGATTGCCAAAGAGCCAATAAATTAAAATGGAATATGAAAGTATTCAAATAATAGAAATGGAGGTAAGAAAGAAGATCAAAATACAGAGGAGACAGCCAGTAAACAAAGTAGAAGACTTAAACCAACTATATCAATAATTACATTAATATAAATGATCTAAACATACCAATTAAAAGATAGAGATTGTTAGATTAGACAGTGTTTTAGTTTTCTGGGGCTGCTGTTAAAATAGTACCACCACCTGAGTGGCTCAAACAGAAATTTTCTTACAGTTTTGGAGGTTAAAAGTCTGAGATCAAGGTGTGAGCAGGGTTGAGCCTTCTGAGGGCTGTGAGGAAGAATCTGCTCCCCTTCTAGCTCCTAGTGGTTAGCTGGCAATCTTTGGTGTTCCTTGGCTTGTCTGCATCACCCCAATCTCTGCCTCCGTATTCACATGACATTCTCCCTGTATGTGTGTCTTTCTCCATCAACCCACTTTATAACGACACCAGCCATACTGGATTAGGTGCTTAACCCTACACCAGCGTGGTCTCATCTTAGCTAATTATATCCACAAAGACCTTATTTCCAAATAAGGTCACATTCTGAGGTACTAGTTAGGATGTCAACATGTGAATCTGGGGGACACACAATTCAACCCATAAATGATAAACTCATAGATGATAAATTCAAGTCCTAAATATATGCTGCCTATGAGAAACTTGCATTAAATATAAAGACACAGGGCTTCCCTGATGGCGCAGTGGTTGGGAGTCCGCCTGCCGATGCAGGGACACTAAACGATCAAAGATTCCACGGTTTCCCCCTAGGACTAACAAGGCAAATGTTGGGAAAGGCAGTCTAATGTGCACTGCCTGTTGACCCCCCCTCCATCTAGTTTCAGAAGAACAGGGCTTGGGCCTGGAATACTTCTTTACCAAGAGATAAGGAACCCATATAGTCAGTGCCAGATTTATCACCTTGTATGGGAATATCTTCTTTTTCAGACTCAATGTGTATTCCTTTGTTCTGCTTAAGTATTTATACTCAATGCGTCAATGACTCTCAGGCACTCTCCAGCCTTCGTTTATTTCAGACTCCACGAAGGAGGAAGAGGTGTCCTTCTGCTACAGCACAAGAGGCGTGCATGCAGGCTAATTGCCCTGTGTTGGCTGCCTGGTGGGACCCACTGGCCACAGGGAACCAATGCACACAATTGGAGCTGATCTTTCTCTGTCTCTTCTCCATGTAAGTAAAATTGTTGTTCCACCTAGTGTTTGACTGTGTTATGTTTTCCTTGGCAACTCCATTACCAAGTATAGTGGAGTGAAAGTGAGTGGAAGTATTTGGGCTTCTATTCCTGGTGATTTTCATAGTAATGATCTTTGCTATCCTCCATGTTGTTGGAGACCTCCCCTGACATTGGTAACCAGTGTTCAGTGTTCTGCCTGACATCAAGGATGTCTCCTCTCAATGTGCCCACATGTTGGAGGGTCTAGCCAGTGTAATAAATCATGAAAAAGAAATAAAAGACACATAGATTGGAAAAGAAGAAATAACACTGTCTGTATTCAAAGAGAGCATAATTGTTTACATATAAAATCCCAAAGAATATCAAAAACTAGTACTATACATAGTTTAACAAGATTGCAAGATTCAGTATAAAACATCAGTTGTATTTCTCTATATAAGGAATGAAAATTGGAAATCATTTTTAAAAGTACCATTTGTAAAAGTATCAAGTATAAATTCAAGAGTAAATCTCAGAGAAATGTGCTGAAACTGTATGGTGAAAACTATAAAACACTGATGATCTGTGACCCAATTAAATAAAAGAATATATCATATTTATGGATATGTTAATATTGTTAAGCTGTCAATTTTATCCTAAGAGATCTATAGAATCTACACAATCTCAATCAAAATCCCAGCAAAACTTTTTATAGAAATTGACAAGATCATTATAAAATTTATATAGAAAATCAAAAGAAATAGCCTAAGAATTTTGAATAAGAACGAAGTTGGAGGGGACTTCCCTGGTGGCACAGTAGTTAAGAATCTGCCTGCCAATGCAGGGGACACGGATTCGATCCCTGGTCCAGGAAGATCCCACATTCCACAGAGCAGCTAAGCCCTTGCACCACAACTACGGAGCCTGTGCTCTAGAGCCCATGAGCCACAACTACTGAGCCTCCGTGCCACAACTACTGAAGCTTGCACACCCTAGAATCCATGCATCACAACTGCTGAGCCTACATGCTGCAACTACTGAAGCCCACATGCTCTAGGACCTACGTGCCACAACTACTGAGCCTGCGTGCTGCAACTGCTGAAGCCTGTGCACCTAGAGCCCATGCTCTACAACAAGGGAAGCCACTGCAATGAGAAGCCCCTGCACCGCAATGAAGACTAGCCACTGCTCGCCGCAACTAGAGAAAGCCCACACACAGCAACAAAGACCCAACGAGGCCAAAAAGAAAAAAAGAAAAAACAAAGTTGGAGGGCTCACACAACCTGATTGTAAAACTTACTATAAAACTATAATCAGGGCTTCCCTGGTGGCGCAGTGGTTGAGAGTCTGCCTGCCAATGCAGGGGACACGGGTTCATGCCCTGGTCCGGGAAGATCCCACATGCCACAGAGCAGCTGGGCCCGTGAGCCATGGCCGCTGGGCCTGCGCGTCCGGAGCCTGTGCTCTGCAACGGGAGAGGCCACAACAGTGAGAGACCCGCGTACAGCAAAAAAAAAAAAACAACAAAAAAAACCCCTATAATCAGACAGTGCAGTATTGGTAAAAGATGGACACAAAGATCAATGGAACAGAATAGAGTCCAGAAATAGATCAATTGATTGATCAATTGATTTTTTACATAAGTTTAATAGCAATTCAATGGAGAACAGATAGTCATTTTAACAAACAGTGCTGGAACAATGGAACATTCCTATGCAAAATAGCAAACCCCACCCCATAACTTATACCTTATGCTAAAATTAACTCAAAATGGATCACAGATCAAAAGGTAAAAATCTAAAACTATAAACTTTGGGGAAAAATGAAGAGAAAATCTTTTTGACTATGGGTCAGGCAAAGATATCATAGTTATGACAGCTAATGCATAATATGAAATGAAAAAATTTGATAAATTAGACTTTACAAAAATTGTAAAACTTCTGTTCTGCAGAAGACACTGTTAAAGAATGAAAAGGCAGTCCACAGACTGGGAGGAAAATCTTTGCAACTGATATATCTGGTGAAAAAAAAAACTTGTACCCAAAATATAAAAAAGAACTCTCAAAACTCAACAGTAAGGAAGGAAACAACTCAATTTTTTTAAAAAGGGCAAGAGATTTGAATAGCTATTCCACTAAAGAAGATATATTGATGGTCTATAAACAGATGAAAAGATGCTCAATATAAATCATTAGAGAAATGCAAATTAAACCACAGTGTGATACTACTATAGACCTATTAGAACGGCTAAAGTAAATACCAAGTGTTAGTGAGGATGTGGAGCAGGTGGAACACACCACTACTAGTGGGAATGCAAAATGGTATAGCCATTTTATACAGTAATCAAAACAATGTGGTACTGGCACAAAAACAGACATACAGATCAATGGAACAGAATAAAGAGCCCAGATAAAACCCACATGCCTACGGTCAATTAATCTTTGACAAAAGAGGCAAGAATATAAAATGGGAAAAGGTCTCCTCAGCAAGTGGTGCTGGGAAGGTTGGACAGCTGCATGTAAATCAAGGAAGTTAGAACACATCTTTACACCATGCACAAAAATAAACTCAAAATGGCTTAAAGACTTAAACATAATATATGACACCATAAAACTCCTAGAAGAGATCATAGGCAAAACATTCTCTGACATAAATTGTACCAATGTTTTCTTAGGTCAGTCTCCCATGGCAATAGAAATAAAAACAAAAATCAACAAATGGGACCTAATCAAACTTACAAGCTTTTGCACAGCAAAGGAAACCATAAACAGAATGAAAAGACAATCTACAGAATGGGAGAAAATATTGGCAAACGATGCAAGCAACAAGGGCTTAATTTCCAAAATATAGTAACAGCTCATACAACTCAACAACAAAAAAACAACCCAATCGAAAAATGGGCAGAAGCCCTAAATAGACATTTCTCCAAAGAAGATATACAAATGGCCAATAGGCACATGAAAAGATGCTCAACATTGCTAATTGTTAGAGAAATGCAAATCAAAACTACAATGAGGTATCACCTCACACCCGTCAGAATGGCCATCACTAAAGAGTCTACAAATAACAAATGCTGGAGAGGGAATGGAGACAAAGGAACCCTCTTATACTGCTGGTGGGAACGAAATTCGTACAGCCACTATGGAAAACAGTATGGAGTTTCCTCAAAAAACTAAAAATAGAGTTGCTATATGATCCAGCAGTCCCACTCCTGGGCACATACCCAGACAAAACTATAATTTGAAAAGATCCATGCACCCCTATGTTCATAGCAGCACTATTTACCATAGCCAAGACATGGAATCAACCTAAATGTCCATCAACAGATAAATGGATAAAGAAGATATGGTACATATATACAGTGGAATATTACTCAGTCATCAAAAAGAATGAAATAATGCCATTTTCAGCAACATGGATGGACCTAGAGATTATCATACTAAAAAGTAAGTCAGGAAGAGAAACATACCATATGATATCACTTATATGTGGAATCTAAAATATGACACAAATGAACATATCTACAAAACAGAAACAGACTCACAGACATAGAGAACAGACTTGTGGTTGCCAAGGGGGAGGGAAGGATTGGAAGTTTGGAATTAGAGGCAAACTATTACATATAGGATGGATAAATAACAAGGTCCTACTGTATAGCACAGGGAACTGTATTCAATATCCTGTGACAAACCATAATGGAAAAGAATATGAAAAAGAATATATATGTATAACTGAGTCAGTACAGAAGAAACCAGCACAACATTGTAAATCAACTATACTTCAATAAAATTTTTTTAAAAAAGAATAAATTGAACAGAGCAGAAAAAATGGTATAGCCATTTTGGAAAACAGTCTGACAGTTTCTTATGAAGTTAACCATACAACCCAACAATCCCATTTCCAAGTATTTACTTGAGAGAAATGAAAACTAATTTAATTAATAGGTTCATAGAATTCATAGTTGTATACACACAAAAAGTTACTTTTACTGTATATAAATTATACCTAACTATAAAAAAAATTTTTTAACTGACCAGAAAAACAAACAAACAAACAAAAGGCTTGAAGTTTCACTTTTGAATTCTATCTATCACACACTTAAGGAAGAAATAACACTAATCTTACACAAACTCTTCCAGAAAATAAAGGGAACATCCTCCAATTCATTTTATAAGGCCACTTGATACTAAAACCTGTCAAACCAAATAAACATAAATGCAGAAATACACACACACACACACACACACACACACACTAAGTTAGCATAGGACTCCAGCAATTTACAAAAATAATTGTACATCATAACCAAGTAGGGTTTATCCCAGAAATGCAAGGTTATTTAAAAAATCAATGAGTTGTTGCTCAGTGTATATGGAATTTCTGTTTTCCAAAATGAAAAATTTCCTAGAGATCTGTTACAGAACAATACACTTCACATATTTTGATGGTCTCTCATAAAATGTGTAAATATTTAAAATTGTTATAACTTCTTGCTGTATTAAACTATTATTAATGCATGATGTCTTTTCTTGTCTCTTGTAGCCTTTTTTGATTTAAGTCCATTTTGTCTGGTATTAGCATAACAGGAGTGGTTCTTTTGGTTACTATTTGCATGGAATATCTTTCTCCATCCTTTCACTTGAAACCTGTTTGTATCTTTGGATCTCAAGTGAATCTCTCACGGACAGCATATAGTTGGATCATGTGTATTTATCCATCTGGCATAATACCATCCTGGCAATCTCTGTCCTTTTCATTGGAGAGTAATCCATTTACATTTAAAATTATTACTGATAAGGAAGGACTTACTTCTGTCATTATGCTATATACTAATTCAATCTCCTCACTAGTAATCAGTCTGTTCAGATTGTTTGTTTCTTCATGATTCAAGCTTGGTAGGATGTATGTTTATAGGAATTTATCCATTTCTTCAAGGTTTTTAATTTGTTGGCATATAATTGTTCATAGTAGTTTCTTACAATCTTTAGTATTTCTGTGCTATCACTTGTAAGGTCTCTTTCATTTCTGATTTATTTATTTCAGTACTCTCTTTTTTTCTTGGTGAATCTAGTTAAAGTTTGTCAATTTTGTTTATCTTTTCAGAGAACCAGCTCTTAGTTTCACCGATCTTTTCTATTGTCTTTTTAGTCTCTGTTTCAGTTATTTCCATTCTGATCCTTATTTCCTTCCTTCTAACTTTGGGCTTAGTTTGTTCTTTTTTTTAGTTCCTTGAGGTATAAAGTTAGACTGTTTATTTGAGATCTTTCATTTTTCTTAATGAAGGCATTTACCACTATAAACTTCCCTCTTAGAACTGCTTTTGCTACATTCCTTAAGTTTTAGTATGTTGTTTCCATTTTCATCTGTCTCAAGATATTTTTTGGTTTTCCCTTTGATTTCTTCTTTGACCCATTGGTTTTAGGAGCTTGTTGTTTAATCTCCACATATTTGTGATTTTCCCAGTTTTCCACTTATAATTAATTTCTAGTTTCATACCATCATGGTCAGAAAACATACTTGATATGATTTCAATCTTCTTAAACTTATTAAGACTTGTTTTGTGGTCTAACATGTGATCTATCCTAAAGAATGTTCCACATGTGCTTGAGAAGAAGATTCTGCTGCAGTTGAATGGAATTTCCTGTAAATGTCTGTTAGGTCCAACTGACCTAAAATGTAGTTTAAGTCCAACATTTCCTTATTGATTTTCTGTCTGGATAAACTATCTGTTGTTGAAAGTTGAAAGATTTAATGAATTTTTAGGCTATAATAGAAAACTAACAAGAAATTTCTCCCCGAGACTGTTTCGGGTCCTTTAAACCACTCTGATCCACCTCTGCTATTAGTTCTCCTTTAGTGATCAAGTGTAAGAAGCACTGGATTGAAGAAGTTGGTTCTCTGCTATAGTTATGTCATCTCTGATAAAATTATTCTCCAGCAGGCAGACGCTTACATGGAAGGATTGGTACAATACTCCCAACGATAGATTTTTCCTCTATCTCTGCTCTACCCTCTTCTTCACATCCTTTGAAGAGGCACCTTGCTGCTGGTTAAAAGCGTGAACTGTGGAGTCAAACTTCCTGGGTTGAAATCCCAGCCTCACCACTTAGTAGCCTCGGGAAATTTAACTTAACCTCTTCCTGCCTGAGGCTTCTCATCTCTAAAGTGGATATAATAGTGTTTATTTTATAGGATTATTATAAGGAAAATATAAGAATAATAGTAAAAGGCTTAGGTCAATGCCTGTGTGTGCCAACTTAATTGAGTTCCTATTTCCTATGTCTGCAATGTACTGTGATGTTAGTATTTCTGATATAAATTTGTCTCTCAGATAGAGGTGGGAGGAGTCCTTGAAAGAATAGGTCTTGTCTCTCTTCCTCCTCTCTCTCAATCCCTCTGCAACTTTTTCTCTGGCTCCCTCTCATTCTCTCAACAAATATCTACTGAGCACCTTCTGCGTAACAGGCACTATTTTAGGCTGATGATTATATTTTGAATCAGAAAAGCATTTTCCCTCCCTTTTTACAATATAATGAAACAAATCAGTACTTGAGCAGGCTATTGCAGTGCAATAAGGTAGAAAGAGGGAGGGGAAGGCAGGGACACAAGGTATTCTGTGTCTATCTATTCTTTGTGTTTCTGTCTCTCTTTTTCTGTCTGACTCTGTCCCTCTCTTCCTCTGTCTCTGTGTGTATGCCTCTTGAAGGAAATTAAGAGATTTCCCAAAGTACAGGAAGAACTTACTGTATGAGTACAGTTAACCTTGGATAGTCTGGTTGTAGCCAATTCTAGCCAGCAGGGGGCAGGAGTGACCAGCTGTATAAATCAGTGCAGTTACTCAAATGTTTCTAAGACCTACTTTTAAAAAGTGCTTTTTAAAAAAAAATTTTATTAGAGTATAGTTGATTTACAATGTTGTGTTAGTTTCAGGTGTACAGCAAAGTGAATCAGTTATACATATACGTATATCCACTCTTTTTTAGATCCTTTTCCCATATAGGCCATTACAGACTATTGAGTAGACTTCCCTGTGCTCTACAGTAGGTCCTTATTAGTTATCTACTTTATACATAATAGTGTGTATATGTCAATCCAAATATCCCAGTTTATCCCTCCTCCCCTTACCCCCTGGTAACCATAAGTTAGTTTAAAAAAAAAAAAGTTCTTTTAATTTGTTCTGTGGAATTCTTTCAATTTTTAAGCTGTATAATTGTTACATAGCAAAAATGACTATTGGTATTGTCATGTTAAAACAATTCCAATTTGGCAAATTGGAATAAGTTTCTACTGATCATGAATGTTGATTTTGTTTTCACACAAGGATTTAGCCTCTCCTTAGACGTCCAAATAACAAAATTTTCTGCCTTTTTATATTCAGCAGATAATTTCAACTGGAGACAGGGATGGATGGAAAAACTTACACTCCCAAGACATCAGGCCTCACCAGCAATCTTGGGCTTCTCATTTAAATTCCCTGAGTTTTTACTGAAGAAGTTTGCAAAGACCAGGGTGAAGGCTATATTGGACTGCCCAGGGAACCACACTCTTCAGGGACTGTGGACATTAGGAAGACATGTCCAGTTGACAGTGAACGGCTAAGCCAAGGGTATGACCTTGCTTTCTAATCTCTTGGCTTTCTGCACTCACAGCTGTCACAACAGGGGCCTTCCCAAAAGTCAGACCCACCTCAACTGTGTTAAAAAGTTGGGGTTCTTGAATGTTTCCAAGGAACTTACCTTTTATCCCTTTGTTTGATACTTGTTTTACAAAAGATATGTTTTTGAGTTTCTATTCAACATGGAAATTATCCTCTAGCACTCAAGGTGCTTTCTATAGTCTTTATTGGTGCTTTCTAAACATTCCTTAAAACAAACAGATTTGGTACAGAGAAGAATACTCTTCAATTTCCTTGTTTTTGTTATACAGTTTCTTCTTAATTCTAAGTATTTTATTTTTAATATTTAACAATAGTACATGTTATATATTAAAAATTTGAAAAATACAAGATTGAAAGCAAAAATTGTCCAACATTCTACCAACCAGTGATAACCAGCACTCATATTTTGCTCTACAACTTTCTGGTCTGGCTGTCTCTGTCTTTAAGAAAAGTGGAATCACACTGGATGTGACAGAGACTAAGAGTTGTCTCCCAGGATTTGCTCTCCTTTTCTTTCTATATAGTAAGATCTCAAGCTTTTAGCTCAGCGTATGACCTCAACTCGCAGCCTGGTGTGGCCATACAAATTAAGTTCTAGCCAATGGGCTACAAGTGCAATGATGAAAAGTTCTAGCAGATTTTCGTGAAGCGGGGACATACCCTTCCATCTCCTTCTCTTCCTTTCCCGTAGTTAGAATGCAAACATAATGATTAGAGCTGGAGTAGCCAGCTTAGACTGCAAGAAGCCCCGTGCTGAAGGTTACAGAACAATCACATGCAAGGAGCCTGTGTCTCTGATTACCCTGGAACAACCATCCCAAGCTGGAATTCTGTTTACATGAGGGCAAAGTAAACCTCAATCTTGTTAAAGTCACTTTTTTTGTGTATTTTTGTAACTCACAGCCACACTTCATTCAAACTAGTATGCTAGATCTATATGTAGTTCTATAATTACATTCAAATATCCAGTCTCTTTTCTTACTATATATATATATATATATAGTACAATAAGTATCATCCTACCACATAGCTTTATTGCTTAAAATAGGGGAACAGTGCCTTTGAAAATATGGTTACATAATTATGGTTACATATTTGAAAATATGGTTACATATTTACATAAAATAGGGGAACAATAGCTTTGAAAATATGGTTTTTAATGGCTGCATAATATTCTATTGTGTCATAGTTTAACCATTCCTCTATTTCCCCCAATGTATTACTCTTATTTCTAATGAGGAAGAGGGAATCTCCTTGTATATAAACCCTTGTGCACATTGCTAATTATTTTAGGAAATAGTCCTACATGTGATTAGTTTTTATATTTTCACTTTTACCTACTGTTGGGATTTTATTGTTATTTTTAGAAAAAAGTATGTAGTGTTTGATACTTATAAAAGAATATTTATAGGACTATGTAAGTTTAAAGAAGAAGAAGAAAATAAACACCATGGAACCCTTTATCCAATCTCAGAACTCAACCACTATCAATATTTGAAGTTGCATGTGGGATCCTCCCTAGTCTTAACCCCTACCAACCTCCAGAGAAAAATACTGCACTCAAGTTTGTTGCTGTCATCTCTCCCTTTTTTGTTGTTATTTGTCTTACCACATATATATCACTCAGTTCCTGAAGCCAAAAGTATTGGAGTCACTCTTGAATTCTTATTAGTCTTACCCCTCCCATCCAATCTGTCAGCAAATCCTGCTGGCTCTGCCTTTAAAAACATATCCAGAATTCACCACCACAGCAACATTCTATTTCAAGCCACCATCTCTCACCTGCATTACCAATGTAGCCCCCTAACTTGGTTCCCTGTTTCCATCCATGCCCCCTTCCAGTCCACTTTCAATACAGCAGCCCGAGTAATTCTGTTTAAACCTAAGTCAGATGGTGCATGAAGTCAGATCTTTGCATAATAGCTCTCTATCTCAGAGAAAAACCCTACAATATCACATGGTTGGTCCCACCCCTCTCTCTCAACCTTGCTTCTCTGAACACACTCAGACCTTGGGGCTTTTGTATGTGCTATGTCTGTCTGGAAGGCGCTCTCCCCAAATCTCTGCACAGCTAACTCCTCGCTTCGTTCAAGTCTTTCCTCAAATATATCTTCTCAGAGAGGCCTTCCCTGGCCACCCTATCTAATTAATCTCCCTACCACTTCCTAGCCCCTTCCTTTGAGATTCATTTTCTACTTTGTTACATGTTTAATTTACTTATCTTGTTTGTTGCCTGTTCCATCACTTGAAAGTAAGCACCATGAGGGCAGGGTTTTTGTCTTTTGTGTTTACTGCTGCCTCTATCTTTGGTGTCTAGAACTCTGCTTGGAATATAGTAGTTACTCAAAACACATTTGTTGAATCAAAATTGAATTGAGTGTATATATTCTGATACCATATATTGTTTAGCTTTGTGGCTTCTGAGTTTTATGAAAATGGTATCCTCCTCTATACGTACATCTATGTCTTGCTTTATCTACCCAATGTTTTTTTTACACATTTTTAAAATTAATTTATTTATTTAATTAATTTTTTGCTGTGTTGGGTCTTCATTGCTGCATGCGGGCTTTAGTTGCGGCGAGCAGGAGCTTCTTTTCGTTGCGGTGCGCGGGCTTCTCATTGCCGTGGCTTCTCTTGTTGCAGAGCATGGGCTCTAGGCGCACGGGCTTCAGTAGTTGTGGCTCACGGGCTCTAGAGCACAGGCTCAGTAGTTGCAGGCACGGGCTTAGTTGCTCCACGGCATGTGGGATTTCCCGGACCAGGGATTGAACCCGTGTCCCCTGCATTGGCAGGTGGATTCTTAACCACTGCACCTCCAGGGAAGTCCCTCTACTCAATATTATATGTCTGGGGCTTTCCTGGTGGCTCAGTGGTTGAGATGCAGGGGATGTGGGTTTGTGCCCCGGTCCGGGAAGATCCCAGATGCCGCGGAGCGGCTGGGCCCGTGAGCCATGGCCGCTGAGCCTGCGCGTCCGGAGCCTATGCTCCGCGACGGGAGAGGCCACAACAGTGACAGGCCCGCGTACCGCAAAAAAAAAAAAAAAAAAAAAATTGTATGTCTGGTTTACCCATGTTTGTCTGTATGACTGTAATTAATTCATTTTCACCACAGTTTGATATTTTGCTGTCTATGTCATTATTTAATTAGCCATTCTTCTCTTGATGGACATTTAGGTTGTTTCCTTGTTGAGTTATATATACTTATGCACAAATGTGTATATAAACATTTATATACATTTACACATATGCCTCTGGGATTTTGTTAGCCTCTGGGATTTTGTAGGATAAAGTTTTACAAATGGAATTTTTGGAGTAAAGGATATTCCTGTTTTCTTGATTTAAAAAAATTATTTTTAACTGTTATATAAAAATAAACATTAGATAAAACATACCACCTTAACCATTGTAAAGTATACAGTTAAGTAATATTAAATATATTCACAGTGTTGTAAAACAGCCCTCCAGAAGTTGTTCATCTCGCAGAGCTGAAAGCCTATGCCAATTAAACAACAACCCTGCATTTCCCCCTCCCTCCAGCCTCTGGCAACCCCTATTGGGATCTTCTCTTTCTGTAAGTTTGACTAGCTTAGCTATGTCATAAGTGGGATCACACAGTGTTTGTCTGTTTGTGACTGGCTTATTTCATTTAGCATAATGCCCTCAAGTTTCATCCGTGTGATAAGTACGCATCTTTTTTTGTACTATGTTGTCCTTTTTGTTCCACTTCCTGAGAGATTTCTCCACTTGATTTTCTATTTTTCTCATAAATTATTTTTCACTATACAGTTTCTTTTTACTTAACAAGGTGAGCATAAAAACGAAATAATATCATAATTCTGAAAACAGTATACTTAGCAGGAATTAATTCAGTAAATACAGGGAATTCCCTGATGGTCTAGTGGTTAGGACTCGGCTCTTTCACTGCTGGGGCCCAGGTTCAATCCCTGGTCTGCAAACTGAGATCTTACAAACCACGTAGTGTGGCCAAAATTAAATTAAAAACAAACATAAAATCTTGTATTTTTTGGCCACCTTTAAATATTTTAAAATTAATTTTATTGAAATATAATTTATATATAAAATTAACAAATTTCAGGCGTTCAATTCAATTTCCTTTGACAAACGTATACAGTTCCATAACCATCACCACAATCATAATGTAACATCTCACCCCAGAAACTTTCCCCATGCCCTTTTTTAGACAATTCTCTCCTCTTGCCTTTGGCCCCCGGCACCACTGCATGGGAGGGCATGGGAGCATATTCTGAAATTATCTTTACAATTTTTCTGTAGAGCTAAAATTATTTCAAATACAGGCAGGCATACCATGTTTTGTTGTGCTTGGCAGGTATTGCTGGGTTTTGTTTTGTTTTGTTTTGTTTTTTACAAACAAGGTTTTGTGGCAACACTGCATTGAACGAGTCTATAGGTGACATTTTTCCAATAGCATTTGCTCACTACATGTTTCTGTGTCACATTTTGGTAATTCTTGAAATATTTCAGACTTTATCATTATCATTATATTTGTTGCGGTGATCTATGATCAGTGACTTCTGATGTTACTATTATAATTGTTTTGGGGCACCAGAAACTGCACCCATTTAAGACAGTGAGCTTAATCGGTAAATGTTGTGTGTGTTCTGACTGCTCCACCAATTAACCATTCCCCCGTCTCTCTCCCTCTCCTCAGGCCTCCCTATTCCCTGAAGCACAACAATATTGAAATTGGGCCAATTAATAACCCTACAATGGCCTCCAAGTGTTCAGGTAAGAGTTGCCCGTCTCTCACTTTAAATCAAAAGTTAGAAATGACTAAGCTTAGTGAGGAAAGCATGTTAAAAGATGAGATGGGTCAAAACTAGGCCTCTATGTGCCAATTAGCCAAGTTGTGAATGCAAAGGAAAAGGTCTTGAAGGAAATTAAAAGTGTTACTCCAGTGAACACAGGACTGATAAGAAAGCAAAACACCCTAATTGCTGATATGGAGAAAGTTGTAGCGGTCTGAACAGAATATCAAACGGGCCACAACATTTCCTTAAGCCCAATCCTGAACAATATCCTAACTCTCTTCAATTCTATGTAGGCTGAGAGAGGCAAGGAAGCTGCAGGAGAATAGTTTGAAGCTAGTAGAGGTTGGTTTTTGAGGTTAAAGGAAAGAAGCCATCTCCATAACATAAAAGTGTGAGGTGAAGCCACAAGTGCTGAGGTAGAAGCTGCAGCAAGTTATCCAGAATATTTAGCCAAGATAATGAATGCTGGTGGCTACACCAGACAACGGATTTTCAATGTAGACAAAACAGCCTTGTATTGGAAGAAGACGCAATCTAGGACTTTCACTGTTAAAGAGGAGAAGGCAAGGCCTGGCCTCAAAGCTTCAAAGGACAGGCTGACCCTCCTGTTAGGGGCTAAAGCAGCTGGTGACTTCGAGTTGAAGTCAATGATCATTTACCATTCTGAAAATCCTAGGGCCTTTAGGAATTATGCTAAATCTAGTCCACCTGTGCTCTGTAAGTGAAGCAACAAAGCCTGGATGATAGTACATCTGTTTACAACATGGTTTACTGAATATTTTAGGCCCACTGTTGACACCTACCACTACTCAGAAAAGAAGATTCCTTTCAAATAGTACTGCCCATTGACCACACCTGGTCACCCAGGGGCTCTGATGGAGATGTACAATGAGATTCATATTGTTTCCATGCCTGATAATACAACACCCATTCTGCAGCCTGTGGATCAAGGAGCAATTTCAACGTTCAAATCTTATTATTTAAGAAATACATTTCATAAGGCTATAGCTGCCGTAGATAGTGATTCCTCTGATGGATCTGGGCAAAGTCAATTGAAAAACTTGTGAAAAGGATTCATCGTTCTAGATGCCATTAAGAACATTCACAATTCATGGAAAGGAGTAAAAATATCAACATGAACAGGAATTTGGAAGAAGTTGATTCCAACCCTCATGGATGACTTTGAGGGGTTCAAGATTTTAGTGGAGGAAGTAACTACAGATGTGGTAGAAATAGCAAGAAAAATACAATTAGAAGTAGAGACTGAAGATGTGACTGAATTGTTATAAGCTCTGATAAAACTTTCATAGAGGAGGAGTTGCTTCTTATGGATAAGTAAAAAAAAGCAGTTTCTTGAAATGGAATCTACTCCTGGTGAAGATGCTATGAAAATTGTTTAAATGACAACAAAGGATTTAGAATATTATGTAAACGTGGTTGATAAAGCAGCAGCAAGTTTTGAGAGGATTGATTCCAACTTTCAAAGAAGTTCTACTCTGGGTAAAATGCTATCAAACGGCATTGCATGCTACAGATAAATCATTTGTGAAAAAAGAGTCAATTGATGTGACCGACTTCATTGTTGTCTTATTTTAAGAAATTACCAGTCACCCCAACCTTCAGAAACCACCACCATGATCAGTCAGCAGCCATCAACATCCAGGCAAGACCCTCCACCAGCAAAAAGATTATGACTTGTTGAAGGCTCAGATGATGGTTAGCATGTTTTAGCAATAAAGCTTTTTTTATTTTTTAAATTAATTCTTATTGGAGTATAGGTGCTTTACAATGCTGTGTTAGTAAAGCATTTTTAAATTAAGGTATGTGTACATTGTTTTTTAGACATAATGCTATCACACACTTAATAGACTACAGTATAGTGTAAACATAACTTTTTTATGCATTGGGAACATAACATATAGTGTAAACATAACTTTTTTATGCATTGGGAAACCAAAAAGTTCATATGACTGACCTTATTGCGATGTTTGCTTCACTGTGGTGGTCTAGAACCGAACTTGCAATATGTTTGAGGTGTGCTGGTACAAAGTTTAGTTAAAAGAGCGAAAGAGTGACTACAAGACCTGTACTCACGTGTTATTCATTTTGCTGTCCTGGAACCACTTCATTCCATTATTTATCACCCAGTGATAGGGTGGCACCAGTATTAATTTCCTATTGCTGCTGTAACACAATTACAACAAATGTAATTGCTTAAAATAAGAGAAATTTATGATTTTAAAATTCTGGAAATACAAAGTCAGAAATGGGTCTTGTGGGCTGAAGTCAAGATTTTAGCAGAGCTATGTTCCTTCTGGAGATTCTAGGGGAGAATTTGTTTCCTTGGCTTTTTCAGCTTCTAAAATCATCTACATTCCTTGGCTTATGGTCCCTTTCTCCATCTGTAGGGCCAGCAACACAACATCTTCAAATTTTTCTCTCTCCCTCGCAGTCACATACCTATACTTCTGTTGCCACATCTCCTTCTGTGACTGTGACCCTCCTACGTCTCCCTTAAAACCCTTGTGATTATATTGGGACCACCTGGATAATCCAGGCTACTCTTCCCAGCTGAAGATCCTTAAGTAACTCAATCACATCTACAACATTCCTTTTGCTGTGGAGGGAGTTAGCAGGGGTTAGGCTATGGACATCTTTGGGGGAACATTTTTCTGTTTACCACATACATCTGTGAAATTCTAGGAACGTTGGTTACATCCTAGGGTGGTCATGTAGTTGGGGGGTACCAGGGTACCAATATGGCCCTACTTACTGTGTGAGATTTGTGAACTAAGTTTCTATCATACTTTGATCTGTGGGGAATGACGACAAGAGACAGGGATGCAAAGCTGAGGAGAATTGCCTAGTTTAATTTGATGCTTTGGCAGAGCAGGGGTTTGAATTTGCGATCCGATCAAAGGAACTGTATTGGAATGATCCAGGCAAGAGTGAGACTTATTAATATGGATACTCCTAGTCTGTGACCAGAAACCTAGACAGAACCGAAGATGGACAGATCACCCTCTGTAGCAATTGGAACCATCTGATACAATGACAACCTGCAGCGGCAGGTAGGTGAGGGAAATACATTGATTAAATGCCTAATTTCCATAAGCTTTCCCAATGATACTGTAGCAGTCAAGTTTGATGTTAGAAAGATGATGCTTTGGTTCAGTTATGTTTGGTTCAGATGTTAAAGGCCCTTACTATCCTAAGTAAAGAATAAAGAATACTATTAATTCTGTCACTGGCTACCAGTGTCTGCTGACATAGGGGCTGAAGGGGAAAAGTACATTAGGTACGTGTGCAGTCAGTAAATGGGTGGATTGTGGTTAAAACACGTTCTTAATTAAGGGGGGCATCATGCGACCTACAACTACTGCTGAGAACAGGTGGATCCCATAGATTGTAGACAGAGGTACTGAGTGTGCTAAAGTGTAGGGGTTCCAGGTAGAGGTGCTGATGGGTAGTAGACACCCTGATGACAATAATCAGGGTCACATACAGTTGGCTCTCAGGAATTTATCAGTTTGGGGCTTGGGCAATGGCAGAAAAGAGTTTTCTAGAAAAAAGAGTTACAGATTGCATAACTGACCAGTATATTATTACCGCTTGTACTGGATATTTTCCTTTTTGTCTTCTAAGTCCCCTCTCCACTGTTTCCTCCCTTCTCAGTAATCTTGGAAATTGAATTTAATAGACTGCATCAATAAGATTCTATACTCTCAGGCTTCCTGCTGGGCTTGAGAGGCACTGGCAGGAGGGCAGAAGGAGGGAAGAGGGTCATGGCCAGGCATTATTCCTCAGCTCCCTGCCTGCAGGCTCACTGCGGGTTAGCTGTCTATACACAGGCCACAACTCCTACAATTACAACTACTGTCATCAGCTTCCAATGATTGGCCTTCTCCTTGTCTCTTCAAGGGGGAAGCAGGGGACAGGTTTGGGGGTGGATAAGAGCTCCTAATGGATTTTAGTCCAGGGTGTTTCACCTTCCCTTTTAAGGATTCTTTTAAGCCTGCCCAAACCTCTGTAAATAGCCGATTTATTAAGCAATCCTCAAATACTCCTCTTAAGAGTGCCATCTGTCTCTTGCTTGTCTCCTGACTCATACATCACTCAAACTAAGGAATAGATCCTCCACCATGGGAATTCCTTATAAGCCTGAGCAGTTCAGGGGTGGCTTGGGGTATTGAGGGGTGCTTCTGAATAATAAAAGTTAGTTTTCTGATTTAAAGGAATGCAGCAACCCCTGTGACGGGGAGATGTCTGTTTAACACCTTGGAATTCATTTATTCAATAAATAATTATTGAGCATATGTTATGTGCCAGGTACTGGTGATACAGCAGTGAAGAAAACAAACACCACTGCGCTTGTGGGCCTCTATGCAGTTGGGGGAGATAGACGATGAGCAGAATACATAAATAAAATCCATACCGTATGTTAGATGCTACGAAGGAAAAATAAAGGCAGGGAAGAAAGATGGGGGAGTTGGAAGATGCGCAATTTTAAATTGGATGCTCAGTGAGAGCTTCAGTGAGGAAGTAACATTTGAGTGATGACTTCAAAGAGAGTTGGCAAAATAGTTGCTGGGATGTACAAATAGGATTCAGGATATGAAGTAGGTGCCTGAAACCTTACATATCAGATATTTGCAGGCTGAGAGATTTTGCTGTTTCTGTGACATTACATGAAACAAGCTATTTTCCAAGGATACTCCAGCCAAATTTTCATTATAGCAGCTGTCAGCCGTAGCGCTGATGGTGCTGAGAATGAGCTGAAGGAATGTGGCCATGCTTGGCATCTTTTACAAAATTAGGCTGCAAAATCACCCTCTCCCTATCTAATCCTCAGGACTAGTATATTACAGTATAAGAAAACTATCCTCTTCCCGTGTTATTCCTCACCCATTCCTCCTTCATCTATTCCAACCTTAAAGACACTCATACCTGCCTCCTTTTCCTCTCCTTATCCATCTGCTCCTTCAGACTCCTTCTTTTCTCTCTCTCCACCACGTCCTGACCTTCCTTGTATCTACCTACCCCACCCCCCTGCCAAACCTGGTCCACTTTGCTGTCTCCCCACTACCCTATAGTTACTCACGACTTTGGCCCTACTTTTCTGGTACTTGGACTTCAAGGAAGGAAAGTTGAAGGACTTCAATTGCCCCTTCTCAACAAGTCTTTTTTTTTGGCCCCACTGCATGGTAGGATCTTAGTTCCCCGACCAGAGATGGAACCTGGGGCCCCAGCAGTGGAAGCGCAGAGTCCTAACAACTGGACCACCAAGGAATTCGCAACAAGTTATTTTTAAGCATTGGTCTCAATCTGCCTTAAATGAGATAAGAAAGGACTTTCCTGAACCATGAAAAAGCAGAAAATTTCTACATAATTCGGATTAGTTTTAGAGGCATATTCTCCAGGCTTCCAGACCTTTATCAATTAGCCAAACTTCCTGTGGGTCCTGGAGATGCCAGGATCCACTTATAGTCTGAAAAAGCCAAAGACTCATAATTAAATCAAAATATAACCTAGGTCAATCATAGGGCTAAGGAGAGTGGAGAATAACTCAGATTTCATCCCTACAGAATCGACTGGTCAAAGATTCAAGGGTATAGATACTAAAGAGGCAAATGAGTCTCTAATTATAGGCATATCTAATTATATTATTAGGAAACATCTGGAAGGATTATTCAGGCCTAACCCTGATGACCACACGGTATGTGCTTTAGATACCGGTTTGTTAACGGGCTCTGTGCAGAACTTAGGCTGTTCAGAAACATATTAATTGGTAGAATGCTCCTCTCTCCAAAATCCATGCATAGGCTGATAAAATTAAATCCACAAAATGCAAGCTCCTGACTCTTCAACTTAAACAACCTGAAGAAAATTGGAGGTTGGACAGGACTACAAAAAGCACAATCCTGAAGATGAAGAAATGATGAGAAAAAAATGATGAAGACTCTTGCTCTAGGACCTGGATAAAACGTTTGACTTTATCAAAATTAAGGATTTCTTTTCGATGAAGGACATTGTGAACAAAGTTCATAAACATCCAAAAAATTAGGAGAAAGCATTAGTATTGTCTAATACCGATGAGGTATTGGTATGTAGAATATATGAGAAATGCCTCCAAGTCAACATTGACAAGGAAGCCCAATGGAAACGGGCAGACTCTCAGACAAGGAACCCCAAGTGTCTGACATGCACATGAAAAGATATACAAAGCCATTAGTAAGTACATAAATACAAATTAAATCAGTGAGATAAGACTTTCTATCCATCAGATTAGCAAAAAGTAAATAGTCTATTAATGTGAAATGTTAGTGGGAAGTTGGAGATACAGGAACCCTCGTGTGCTGCTGGTGACAAATTAGGTTTGTTCGTCCATTCTGTAAAGATATCTGGCAGTCCATGGTCTAAATATACGTATTCATACATATATGAATATATAGGCTAAATATATATGTAAATTGCATTTACATAGTTATATATATATGTATATATAGTATGTATATAATTTATATACACATATATTTGCATATATGTGTATATAAATAGATTATAGATATTTAGACTATAGTTATATGTTCAAGAGAGAGATTCCTAAGTTTGTTCATTTGCCTTTCCATGTTTTCAAAAACTACCTTCCTTTAGCTGCGCTTTTGCCCTGAGAGAGCTCTGAGTCAGGCGAACAAAAGGC